ACACTGCAAGTGTGTTAGACCAGCAAAGAAAACATCTTTAAGCCAAGTCTGAAGGGAGATAATGTACTTAGGATCTGTTATCTTCCAGAGCAAAACCTTCTGAAACATCCATGAGGTTGAGGTTGGTATTTTCTTTGCTTGTTTTGCTTACATTTTCAACCAACAACTAGGGCAGTGTAAGAATACTCTGTTCCAATGAATTGTTAGTTTTCTGAACTTCTGCATAATAAAAACTTGAATCTGTCTTTTCAGTCTTGCATTTCTGTCTTTATCTTAATAGAAAACCTAAACATTTATATCACTTAACATCTTGTGTTATTTTGCTTTGAGATAAAATTATCAGAAATGTCTGTTTCACACTGACACATAGCCATGTCCAAGGTTTCAAATTTCCAAACTGGATTGTGCAGCTTTTTTAAAAGCAAAGCCAGTGAAGTTTCCCTTTTTCTGGTGTCAAATAATTTTATTGCAGGCTGCTCTTGCTTAAAAAATGCTTAAAGAAAGAAATGAAAACTTCCTTTTGCTCTCCTTCATATCACTGCAACTTGGGCCACTGCCTTTAATGGAATTAGGCTCTGATGCATATAAAATACAGCTCAGTTTTTCAACCTGAATGTTTGAATCCAAAACTTCTAAAACTTAAGCTTGGTTTGGTTATATTCCCTTTATCATGTAGTGGTAAGGCTTTGTCATACAATACATTGCTCTCCAGGGTTACTGCAAATCAAAGATTAATTACCCAAAATATACTTCTAAAAGCAGATGCTTCTTAAAGTTGAGCATCAGATGAACTTTAATCTTTGAAGTGTATGTACTTGAAAGCATTCTCTTTTCTTAAATGTTTGACTTCACTGTTTTTTTCCATATTGTATGATATAGATCAGTATTTCAGTATATATTCACCTGTTTGTCCGAGTCTCTCTTCCACAGGAATGGTAAACATTATATGAATCCTGCTTGCAATTTTTGATATCTTCTGCTTGCCTAAAGTGGTTACCATCCAGAGAACACTTTAATCAGTGCTGACACAGTGAACAAGAAAGCTTTAGCACAGCATCTTTCATCTTGACTCAGCAAGATTTCCAGCAGTTGCATTTACACAGTTTTTTGACAGGATGCTTCCTAAGTGAAGCGTTTGCCTTCTGGAGAGCTACACCCACAGAGATTTCATTTTTCTTGATGTCTGTCAATATCATGAACTTTATTAACAAATTCAAATTCAAAAACAATTTCAGTTCAAGAAATCTGCCCAAGTTAGTTCTTGCTTATTTCTTACATACGAGGATATCTACAAAAACACAGATGCTCAACAATGGATTGTAATGGCTGTGTATATTTGTTTTTATATATATATATGTATCCATTTCTTAGAGACAAAATAAAATGAAGGAGCTCTTTAAGAAGAATTTGATCTATGATTGTAGGGATCAGTGCAAAGGATTTGACTCACAGTTTCAGAATTTGTCATAGCACAATATTATAATAAAGTCCTACTGGCTGTCTTTTATATTACTGCAGAATAGAATAAACAACTTTCTACCCTTTATAGACATCTGATGCCAATTTTTTGCAATCAAATTGCAATAACTAAATGCATATCAAAGATGTTTATTTTGGCCCCTACACCTTTGTATAGGTTTTAATTCACAAGTCCAAATGTCATAAAACTCAAGACTAGAACATGGAACAGTGGCAGGTTATGATCGGCTTTCTCCAGGTAAGACATACAAATATTTAACAGCCTTGCAAAATTGCAATTGCAATTTATCAGCCTAGGAAGACTATCTATTTCTCCACCCTTTACCCTGAGGAATGATATTACTTTAAAAAAGAATGAAAAAAACAAAACCCTTCTATGAGCAGGTAATATTTTGGAAGTTAAAAAAAAAAGACTTGTGTGCTTGATTGTGGGTACAATACATAAAGAAGGGGCTGACTTTAATTCTTGAATGCAAAACTCCATTCTACACTAAGGAACAAGTCTAGTTTTGTAGTACCCTAACATGTGTTTCTACCCTTTTGTTTACATTTACTGATAGGAGCTGTAAGAAAAAATCCCATGGCAACCTTCCAGAATTTTAACTATAGTTACCCACACACGCACACACACACACACACAACTATTTAGAAGCTATAATGCGGGAATCTTTACAAATTGTATTTATCTGTGTATTTTCATTTCACCTGATTTTGCAACAACACTAATGAAAAATTACTACACTTTGTTCCAGCAATTTGAGAATATGTTCATGGAAATACCTTCCCTCAATAGGCATGTTAGCAAAAATGTGCTTTAAAAAATTGGAATTCTATTTCAAGTAGTGAAATGTTTTAGTATTTCTAAGTTTTGGAAGAAACTAAAGTCTGATTTTGAAGAATGTTAATAGGCAAGCTGCTTAGAAATCTATTGCTACATATCTAAATCAGGAATTAAAAAAAAAAAAGTTTCACAGACCTGATTCCATATTGTTATCTTTTATAAGACCCTGTCTTCTCTGCTTGAACTCTAATTTACTACAAAGACAGTTATTCTCACAAGCAGCTTGTTCTATTATGCTCATAAATAGTAAATTGAAACATTAAATATTGCTTCAAATAACTAATTGAAGGATAGAACATTCTTATCCCTACAACTGTGCACAGATTATCTCCTCCAAAGCTCAGCATGCCCCACTAGGAACATTACAGAACAACAGCACTGAGATCCTTCTCTGTGCTTTTTCTCTGAGGCAAGTTTAAGTACACTTACATCATCCCTTACAGGTGTTTTTTTGCACTGCCCTTGAAAACCTACAATGAAGGAGATTCCAAAACCTTCCTCATCTCAGATTTATGGGCATCAATCTTTCCCCTTAATATTCAACCTAAATATTTCCTGATTACTTTCAGTTCACAGTTGGGTCCAATATGCAGATGAGAGTCCTTCAGTGTTTGCATCACCGGTGTTCAGAGGAAGAGGCACACACACTGAGAGAGGTGTTGAAGGCATTTACAGACCTGTCCCTGCACCCAGTAGTGTGATGGAATACTTGGGAGATGCTGAACAAGGCAATTTCAAAGGGAGGTGGCCAGCTGCCCACTAAAACAGAGAAACAGGACAAATTGAGCCTCTGCACTGCCCAGTTTGCCCTTCTCTTGGGACAGCAGCTATGTACTGGGTTTTAATGTGTCCCAAGGCTTGTGCCAGCAAATATTAGTGCACCAAAACTCACAGTGAGCAAGGGAAATCAGCAGGAGCTACAGCTTCATCCCGGGAGCTCAGGCTGTATTACTTCAATTCCTCCTTTTCCTTGACACTTCTGCATCCTACCGTGATTCCTTTTAGGACTCTCCCAGTGAACTCAGAAGGATTTCTGCGTAAATATGGACCAATACCAATGGTATTTAACATTAAATAAGAATAAAAAAGATCAATAAATCTGTATGCATATCATACTTGATAGAAAGAGTTCAGTTTTGGAAATTAATGACAGGACATGATATGGTTAATAATTTTTTCAGAAAAAAAATGGCATGCAAAATGTGAAGAGAGTTTCATTAAATAGAAACACTTTGGCTGTCCATGAAATAGAAAATAAAACAATTTCCTTTTCCTCCCAAAGACCAAAAAACAACCATAAATTACAATATATGTTTGTATTAAAAGCTTACTTAGAAACGGGTTTCAGAATGGCAAGGACTTTCTTGCTTTAAAAGCCGTAACAAGAATCTAGCAATCTCCTTTAAATAAAATATTTTTCACAAATTCCATTGTTTTTCTTCATAAAATAAATGAAGCCTGTAGGCAACTAAAATGTCTACTACCTAGAGCAGGAGGAACATTTCACTGTTGTATTTGCCCAAATCAATAGCTATTAAAGTTGTTTGGGGGATTTTTGAATTAGGTTTTGTATAACACACATTTTTAAAAGGATCTCATGAAACAATTTGTCGTTATACAAACGTGCTAGATGTGCACGTTAAAGTATGAGTATATTATTTTGTTTGGAATATTAACAACAGCAGGGCCCAGTCCACTAGTTGTACAAAGAACTCATGGAATTTGATCAGGAATGTTGGATTCCCTGTGTATGTTTGGATCCACAGTAAGATGGTTTTCACACAGGTGATTTATATACTCCTATCTAATAGAAAATGCCATTACAGAGAACAAAAAAGAAAAACACCCCAAAAACAAACAAACAAAAAAAAAAACCCACAAAAAAGAAAAACAAAAAAAAAAAAAACCCCAAAAAAACCCAAAAAAAACCAAAAAAAAAAAAAAAAAAAAAACCACCAAACCCAGAACCAGCAAACAAAAAAATAAGAAACCCAAATTCTATTATGACATGGCAGTAAGCTCTCACACATTCATCCCATGGCAGCATTGGTGGGGACAAGAGAATTCCTATATAATGGCATGATCCACATCCCACTGCAATCAATGAAACATTTGCTCTCGTTTTACTTAATATTAAATCATCAGTAGGAACTGGTATGAATTTGGCTAGGCATTGGCTGACAACAAGGTGTGCTCTCATTTGCTTTCATTATTTGATGTATTAAGGTACAGTGAGGGAAAAAAAAATCACAGCACAAAAAAAAAAAAATTTTTTTACTAGATTTTTACATTTAGTAAATGGTACTTAAACTCCATGGACATGAAAGTAGATTTAAACTTTACCTTCGAAATTTTACTTTTTTCAATATTTCATAGAAAAGAAATGCTCTAAGATACTGTTTCAGACCACAGAATTATTACAGAACATAAAGATTATATGCAAGGGCTTAATCCTTTTCCCAACAAAGATGGTGGCCAACACCATTTAACTCCCACGGGACAGGGGTCAGCTGAGAATGTGCCATGTTCCTAATTGGAAATCTCCTTTGTGATAAAAGAGCCTGGCATATACTTTGCCTTTGTAATTTGAATTCTATCAACAACTATTCCTAGCCACAAGAGAAATATTTTTAGGCAATATATTTGTATAGTTTCACAAAACTATGTTAAAGAGAGATGTGTGGGTGTTTCTGTGTGTGTATGTATTTATGTATGTATGTATACATATTTATGAGCTTGGGATGATTTTCTTAAAATACTTAACTTCACTTACATTATATCTTACATTGCAAAATGTACAGACACCCAGTGTTCTTTTTAACAACATATACAGGTGAATTTATAGAGCCTTATAAAAGATTTTGTGATTCCAAATTAAAAACCATAGAAACATAATCAAAATAATGGAAAGTGGTTTATACCTCTGATAGTACATAGCGCTCATTCGGGTAATATTGACAGCTGCATCTTTGGCATTGAAAAATCCTTACAACTTTTTAGACAAAATGTTGTTGCTTACAGCTTTTTTTTTTTTAAACAACGAAAACAGGATCAACCAAAATACGAATTTTGGGGAAGTACTGTTAAAGGTTTATTTTATTTTTGTTTTTAGCAAGGATAGCTTAGGAACCCTGAATTATCTTCTCGCTTTAGTGTATGGTGTAGACTGTATGAATCCATTTAAAAATCAACTAAGTTGTACCACGTTTTTCGGAAAATTATATATAATATAATATATATATATTTTATATTTATTTAGAAGCTTTGAAATAGTACAGTAAACACTTTGCAACACGGTGTATAAACTACAGAAATGTCTTCAATAATTTTGTGGGTCTTCAGATTAACAACATTTTTATGACCCACAGGTGAAAAGAACATGATCACAATCTCTCTTGTAAAGTTGGAATAGTTTGGGGAACACTTGATCACACAAAAATAATATAAAACAGTCAAGTTTAAAACAGTGATATTGCATTTATAATGCACATCTCTTTTATCTGTACGATTGGCTTTTTGTGGTGAATATAAACATCTAAAGGGCTCAGTGACATTTTGGAGAGAGAAAGATATATAGTGCTGTAAACAGGCACACACTGATCAGAGAGGCAAGATCAGTTGCCTCTGAAGTTTCTACAGTTCTACACATTTCAACTCATTTCTCAGGCCTGCTGAGAGCAGTTAGGTCCTATTGTTGGCCAGGATGTCTCCAACAGCACACAAATCCTTCAGTTACACAGAACTGGATGGCCAAGATAATGAAGTTGAAAGCTGATGCTTTTTGTTGGTCGACTTTCTTTTGTGCAAATCATGCTGCTTCAGGTAAGTCCTGTAGAAGTGACTAGCATATCCTTTTCCGTGCTGCAGGAAAGAAAGAAAGACACTTCTGAGAGGAACAAAAATTAAAAATCAGTCTCCAACAGTTCTTAGGTTTAGGGTTTCTTAGGGTGTAGAGAAACAATTAAAACTTGTCACAAACTGACGCTGGAAATTCCCATTATAGCAAACAGTTTAATGTTGATTCGTTTTTCAGAGAAAGCCTCTTTTTGAGGCTTGATAGCCTGAATACCAAATTTCATAGGCTGTTTTATTATTCTGTCTAACTTGTCATGGCAAATATTCCAATGTGCCTGTACAGAATCAGTGTAAGGATAAGGCAAATATGCAGACTTACAGGTGAAGTATTACTCAAATGTCACAGGCTAATTTTTCCCTAGTTCAGCTTGTTATTTGAAGCAAGATCTAGAATTCCCCCTAAAATTCAGAAGCTAGTTTTCCTTCTCTTTCAAAGTGAACCATTATCCTCATCACTAAATGACCCTTCAGTCTGGTTTGTCAGATGAAAAAATGGTGCATTAGTGCTACAATTCAAATTTCAGCATTTACTGTCAGGCTGAAAATTAACTCATGTTACACAGATGAAGAAGGTCAATGCATTAGCAAAGCCATATCCTAATCCACCAGCTGCAGTAGCTGTATTACCTCAAGACACTGACTAATTTAACTGTAATTGGGAGCAAAAGTAACAAATTATTTGTACCAGCATTTAGGAAGACCCCAAGTTAAATTCTGAACTCAGTCACACATTAAACCAACGAACTAGCTCACTTGTTCAAGTATTATAATTAGCATCAGCACCAGTCTTACCTGGTAAAACTTATAGAGATAAAATCAGGTGTTACCTTAGCTCCAAATCAACTAAATCCCTACCTGAAATTCAGTCTGCTTCTCTGTGTGAAGTTTTACAGCTGAAACAAAAAGGAATCTTAATTTTCAAATGAATTTTTGAATCATGTACAGGTTGATGCTTGCGTGGTGACACATAAACACATCCAGTCTCCGTTCCATTTAACGTAAATATATACATTAGCCGTACTTATTTCCTAGATATATATTCACTAGTAAAGGCATGAAATCTGGGTACTGTACCACAGGGAAGTTAGATTATTTACAGGAAAATGTTACTGTGGGTGTTGGATGTTTGTCTAATCTAGCCTGCCTATGCTACAGGGTGCACACAGAAAAATGTGAAAAACATTTCTGCATAAGCTATCTGTTCAACATACAGAAAATTGCCAGATGTGTGGTTAAAAATAAAACATCTAATAGATGAGGTTTTCAATGTTTCAGTTCTGTAGCAAATTAGTAGCAGAATTAGAAAGAATTTTTAAAAGCTTCTGCAAGATGTTTTATAAACAGTGCTTTTAAGAATAATGAGATCAGAGTCTTCATGATGCAGTGAATGATCAGGTTAATCCAGTATCTAGAAATCTTTTAAAGTATCTTTTTTAATATTACAAGAAACAATCATTCCAATAGTAGTAGTAAAAATAACAAGGCTTATATTGGATCTTTAAAACTTTTTTCCCAAAGTTCAGTCATAATTTCAGTTCTCTTGTAAATATTTAGGCATTGTTGTCTAGATTGGTGTCTGCCACCAAGGAACTCGTGCTGCACTACAGACACAGTAGGACTTTGCTGGAAGAAAGATAAACAGAGATACAGCTGAGGCAAACACTGCTTTTATGCAGCACCACTGCACCACTCCTGTCTGACACAGTGCCTTGGTGGTACTGATTTGGCACCATCTTCCAGATAATGCAGAGACTGATTTACTGGCTGTGTCTGGCCTTTTGCCATGTAAATTGATGCCTTTTGAAATTTTTAATCTCCAGTTAACATGCTTATATTACAAAACAATCAAGCCCTTTTATAGCAATAACTACATATTATGCATTAAAGTTGCAGAACTACTGCAACTCTCCCCACATACAAAAATTTTTGTACCAAATCTTAAAATATCCTCTGCCAACACATAAAAAGCATTGGATTTTAGAGACAAGGATTTTTGTGCTCTGTGTTTGTTTGGCTTTTTTTCTGGTTCTACAGAGAAATTTATGTGCAAGCAAATCTCTCTATGTCTATACCAGTTTCCGTCTTTTTACAGATGGGGAATATAAATCAGAGAGGTTAAATGGAAAGGAGGATGGACTCAACTTAAAAAAGAGAGCAATGAAAATTCTGACAGCTGTTTTCAGTTCTCTGTGTGTGCATGCATGTGTTCATAAATAAACTTTTAAATAACAAACACTAAGCCTCTCTGTATCACAATTTCTCCATCTGTAAAATGGGAATAATATTGCTTACCTATCTCCTAGAGGTGCAGGAAGGTTTAAATCACTATTCTTTATAATCCACTTTGAGATCCAGAGATGGCAAGTGCTATAGAAATGGAAGTATCACAGTCAGTGTAAGAGCTGGAACAAGACCACCATAATTTCTGGTGCCTAATATCTCCTCTGAGATCACAGCTCTCTCTTTCATCCCTATTTTATCACCTGTTCCAAACTCTCAAACTAGTACACAGGGAATCTTCAAGTCTGTGTGAGTATGGGCAGTCAGAAAAAAAGGCTTTAATCATAAGCAGTTCCATAATTCTGATAATGTAATTATACTAATTGTACATATATTCCAATATTATTTGAGGTGAACAAGATTATTAAAGCTTCACAAGCATTACAATTAAAATTCTTAGGATTTGTGCTGTATCGATCCTTCCCGGAACAACAAAGATTTTGAGCATTACAGTAAGAGTACTTTACGCATACAATTTATATGGAATAAAATAAAATGAAATAAAATAAAATGAAATAAAATAAAATAAAATAAAATAAAACAAAATAAAATAAAATAAGAACTGGCAAAGAATATATTAAGATTCATTTGTTGCTCAATACACCGTAATAAGGCTCCCATCCACAGTGAGCTTATTCTGTGTAAACTGATAAGAGAAGACATGTAACAACATTAGTAGTAGTTGAACAGAAAAAAAAAAATTAAAACACTAACATAATAAGCAGGAAAGAAAATGTAAAGTATGCAGTAATTATTCCTAGCTCATGGATCTGAAATGAACAGAAAATACTGTAAAGCCCTTGTCTCTAATAAATCTTCCTTTCATCCAGTTGCAAATCATCCTATTGCATCCAAACTTGATGCTGGATTACTACTTTGTAACTGTGAATATAGGCAGGAGCATTTCCTCTTACAGAAAAGCCTAGAAGGGATTGCCTGTGCTTGGAACACCTTCAAACTCTCCAAATCAAATTTTGCTCCTGCTTAGCAGTGGTAGCTAATCTAAAGGGGACAGAGAAAGGGCTCAGTGCTTCCCTCCACAGCTGGCAGCCCAAGCAGTGAAAGAAAACCCATAATATAAACCCATCCTATACCTTTTATAATTATTGTCACTTTCCCTCTGGACTATATTTAAGGGCTCCATAAGCTCCCACTGCATTATTTCTGCTCTTAACAGAACAACTGCTGAGTCCCACTAGAAGTGCCAACAGCCTAAAGATCCAAAGGAACTGCTAGACAATAAAATTTCCAAAGAATATCAAATACCAGGCATGCTGTTGCTATTGCAGATATACTCCTGATCCCCCTTCACTTAGGAGAAAGATGACATAAACCCCTTTCTTTTAAATCAAAAACCCTCTGCAACACCAGAACAAGGGTAAAGCCACTATGTAAACTCTTATCTCATTTCAGATCTACATTCCTTAAGTTCAGACAATATCCAAGCAATTTTTGCCTTCACACAGGCTTTCACATAGGGGTTCTTTTGCAAGCACACAACTCACTGTCTTCTCTTGTGGGTCCCCTGTACAAACGGTGTCCTCACCACGCCACCCAGATCAAGCCTTCCCCACAGAGCACAGCAAGTGATGAAGGAACACAGGATGCTGTAACTTCCTGCAATTCATTCAGAAACAGCACAGCTATTCTGGCTTCACTTGCAGTGAGCAATAATTTAAAAAAGGAGTTAATTACCTCATAGGCATTACAGGGAGGCTGGTTTAAAATCTGCATTGTTAATTTTAACTGTCCTTTATATTTTGATGGTTTGCCTTACAGTCTACATGTTAACTGTAGCATATGAAACATGGCTCTTCACTAAGTCCCATCAGCTTCACCACAGCCAGAAAATGATAATTCTGGTGACCAAACAAACAGACTCCAACTTGCACTCCTGCTCTAAATCCACCCAAGCAAATAGAGACCAAGACCTATGAAGTGGTGGAATGTATTCTGTCATAAATAACCTGGCCGTTCCCGTTAGCTTGGAGTTCAGCAGCTCAGATATCAGCAAGTATGTTTTTTGGAAAGAGGTCAACACGTGAATGGGAATGCAGAGTAAACTGCCATAGCTCCCTCACCCTTCGTAGTGGTGCATCCAGGTAAAGGGTGAGACACACGGCTGGGGCTGGGGCTGGGGGATGTAGGATGGGGATTACTCTGCTGCCACCCATGTTCTGTGGATAAAAAAGCATTCCAGTCACTGCAAGTGTCAATTCAGTATATTTTGCAATCCATAAAGTATTTTTTTAAAGTGATCTATTACTTAAAGAAGTTTGCTAAAGCATTGCTAATAATCTTTTATGAATATTCCATTAATGGCATTATAAAAAGAGAGTGTCTGATCCAGGCAAATAAACAGACAAATACAAATATAAAAATAGCATTTTACTCATATATCTTTTCCTCATGAATTAGTTTAAGGGGAACGTTTTTCCTTTTCTTTCAAGGCTTTAGTGCAGAAATTTTGTCCTTCTATCTATATATTCTGTAGAGAACTCTTAGATAAAACATCTTGCATTCCAGACACCCATGTTTAATTTTACACAATTAATGTGGGTTTTTAACCCTGCATTATATCAAATAGTTTGGGGGAAAAAAAAAGAAAAAAGAAAAAAAAAAGAAGGAAGATGGAACATACTTACTTACTTTTGCATTTGAAAATACAGATAACTAATTAAATAAGATCAAATCTCCCCTAATGTCAGTGAGTCTGCTGGCTTTGG